ACTTATCTGCTCTAGATGGTCAGAAAAGTTTATTAAAAAGATAACATAAATGTTACCATAACATTTTGCCTAATATTGTAAACTACATTTATCATACTAATCCAATGAAAAATATATTTACACAAAATTCACCAAATTTTAATGTATTGATGTTAATTTGCTGATTAGGTTGAATACTTTGAATACCAGAAAAAGAAAACATGCCTGTTTTATTAACATCTTCACTTGTTTGTTTAAACTAATAGTATCTACAGATTCTGGGCTAAATTGATGATAGCTATTTTTTTGTATTTTATTTTTTAAATAAATAAAACGGAACAAGTACAAACCAAAAAAATTTGTGAAGGAAATATTTTTGGTTTGTATTTTTTTATTTGTTTTTTTTTTTTTTAATTGGTTTTTTTTGAGAAAATAAGTGAGGCATGGCCCCAGTGCCATGGATCCAGTGCATGGCCCCAGGTCATGGACCCTCTGGTCGTCTGCCCTGGAAACAATTTTAACACAGGTTTATCAGGACTAGACAAATGGTGAAAGTTTCAGAGCTCCAGTTAATCTGGAATGTAGTGAAATCACAAGATTCCATTACAAAAAAATGGGGCACATGCCCTATTCTCCCCGCTCCCTGATGTCTTGGGCCCTTGAAGCAAATTTAACATGCACATTCATTGGCATTACAGAAAAACAAAAGTTTCAAAGTTCCAGCTAGTCTGGAAGGCAGAGAAGAATCAATCACAATACTCTGCTACAAAAACCATGTCCTGTTTTATTCATATATGGAAATCCATATATTTACAGATCAAAATCCTTATATTTTGTTAAAGATCAATGAATATAGAATGATGTGTAATAATTTTTTTTTTTGATATCATAAAGACCACATGGGTTTCTTGAGCATTAAAATCAGGTATATAAAAAATTGACTAGATTTTTTTAAATTGATAATTGCAGGTACTTAATAATTGTATACACTTCTGATCATTTATTGGATCCATCATCCCCTAAAAATAACAAAATTGTAAATAAAATAATCAAATATTTTTAAAAATATAAAATGTGAAACCCCTAAATAAACATTATAATTATTAGGGGACAAGAGGGGGCTGAACAATATCTGTTAAAAGTTACATAGTCATATTTCAGGAGAGCTAAAGGCTATAATTTTTAAGGAATTCTTATTTTACTGTGTACTCTCAATAATGTAAAAATTAGCAAAATCTGAGACGTATGGTGATATGGTCTGGGTCAAATGACATGGAATTACCATATGAACATATTTTTTTCATACTTATCAAATTTTGAATGTTTTTATATAAATTTAGAAATGCTTCAAAAAAATGAAAAGAAAAGAGACATTTTATGCTGAAAATATGAGTCAAACTTCTTTCTCCAATTCAAGTAATCTTGGTAATCCTAGAAAAATTAGTCGCAAAAATGAGCAAGAAGAAGATTCAATAAATCATGAACAAAAGTATGATCGTCAATTGCGTCTATGGGGTGATAATGGTCAGCAAGAGTTAACTTCTGCAAAGGTTTGCCTTCTAAATGCTACAGCAGTTTGTTCTGAAGTTTTAAAGTGCTTGGTTTTACCTGGTGTAGGAAGCTACACAATAGTGGATAAGCACTCTATTTCAAATGATGATCTAGAATGTAATTTTTTTATTAAAGATGATTGCTATGGGATGCCAAGAGCGCAAGTTGTTTGTAATTTAATTCAAGAATTAAATGGAGATTCTAAAGGTTTTTATTATATTGAGGAGCCTTTAAAAATGTTAGACGATGATCCTGAATTCTTTAAGAAATTTACCATTGTAATTGCATCAAGACTATCAGAACATGATCTTACTAAGTTCAGCAACTTCTTATGGCAGTTTAATATACCTTTTGTTATATGTGATAATTTTGGGTTTTTAGGGTATATGAGAATTTCTATCAAAGAACATGTTGTTATTGAGTCACATCCAGATAATGTTCTAAATGATTTGCGCCTTGATAATCCATTTCCTGCTTTTCTGGATTATGTCAATGATATTGATTTAGACACTATGGATAACTACACTCATGCTCATACTCCTTTCCTAATAATTTTATATAAATTTTTGAATGTTTGGCGTACTATAAGTCAGAAAGAATGGCCCAAAACAAATCAAGACAAATCTGAAATAAAAGCTCTTATAAAACAGTATGCAAGAATAAATGAAAGTGGTTTAGTTGAAGAAAATTTTGAAGAAGCTATGAAAAATGTAAATACTGCTTTTACAACAAGTAAAATTCCAGATCAAGTATTACAGTTATTTAACTGTAACATGTGTTTACATCCCGCTGGCCCAAATATGAAATTTTGGATATTGGTCAGTGCACTTAAGGAATTTGTAAATCAATTTAAATGTCTTCCATTACGAGGAACTCTTCCTGATATGTTCTCTGACTCTGTTCGATATATTCATCTTCAAAATCTTTACAAAAACAAGGCCAATGAGGATGTCAGCAATCTAACAAATATTGTGAGACAAGTGTTATATGACCTTCAACTTTCAGATGCTCTATTTACAGAAGAAGAAATAAAACTTTTTTGCAAAAATTCTTTTTTTTTACATGTTTATCAAGGTGAAGCTTTTCATGAAGAATTAAAACCAAGTGTAAAATTAAATTTTGAAGAGATAGCTGATGATTTTAAAAGCATATACACAACTATTCGCTCTATTTATTATTATTTGAATACTTCTAATTGCTTAGATGTAAAAGATGTTTATAAAATTTTTGAAGAAATATCTAATAAAATATCAAATCAACTAGGAATTTCACAAAGTTGTTCTATGGACCACTTTGGAGAACTTCTACGACTTAATTTTAATGAGGTGCATGTAGTAGCATCAGCCATGGGAGGAATTTGTGCTCAAGAAGTTATAAAAATTATTACTAAACAATATATTTTATTGAACAATACTTTTCTTTACAATGCTATTAATCAGGAGACAACAACAGTAAAATTGCTAAGATAATAGTATTTTGTAAGATTTAATATTGATGCTAATCCTTTAATCTTTATTTACCTTATTTTATTATTATTCTAAAAATATACCAACATTCAATTTAAAGAACTATTTTGTTTAAATTGAGTTTATAATTCTATACAAATTAAGCTTTTCTAGCTAATATTATGTTAGATATGTTTCATTGTAATTTTTTAATATTTTTTCTTTGTCATGCCTAACATGTTTATATATCTTTTTGCAATAATAGTTTACTCATTAGTGTTGAGTTGTATATTTGTTCTTAGACCTTTTTTGATTCTTATACAATTTTTTTTTAAAGGAATATTGAACTAAAATTTATCATTTTGCTAATGACACTTTAGCACAGCTTATGTTTTTGCATAGTTCATGTTTAACATTAAACATTAAAAGTGATAATTTCAGAGTTTTTTTCAATAATATTGTAATTCTGATATAAATGTAGTTAGAAATTTACAAATATAAGTTTATATTCATAGAATTGAAAAATGTTTGTTTGTGTTGCAGAATAGATTTTTAGTTATACTGGTTAAAATCAAAATACAAATACATCAAAGCACTTTTAAATTTATAATTTTTGGAATTAGGCAAAATATAGCAAAATCACTAATGTTGTCTTTACTCAGGTTATAATGGCAGAGTTGCTTTTAGAATCTTAAATTTTGATATAACTTTTTATAATAAAAATTTCTTATTTTGTTTTTTTTTAAAACAGTTTTATTGCTTTTCTTCTAATATTGTTGGATATTTAGGGCTCCATTTATGGTTCAAGTTTGAAATATCAAAAAAAAAATTTTGTGTAGAGCAGTTTACCTATGAAGATGCTGTTTTTTATTTTTTATTTTTATATGGTACACTTGATCAATTACCATAAGATAATGTATTATTGATCCTTATTATAAAAAATTAGTTCCTAATTAACTCTTAATACAAAAATAAGTTTTTTTTTTTTTAAGTAATTAAAAAAGTTTATTTTATATTTTGTTAAATCTAACTTTAACAGGTTTATTATTTTTTGAATAATTTTTATTATTAAATGTTAAATAATCTACTTCTTAATCAAAGTTTACCCAAATGTTATTTAAGTCTAAAATTTTAGTTCAAAGGTATAATTAATTAATTAATTAATGAGTATATAATCAACGGTATAAATAATGAGTTTACATATTTGTGCATACACATATACAGCCCTAAGAATTAGGAAAAATGAGGTCAGCAATAATTTGCCAACCTTAATCTGTTAGAAATTGGCAAAAAAAAATTAATACTATGGTTTTACCATAAAACATGTTAACGAGGCCAACAATTATTTGCAGACCTCAAACACTTCTAGGTTGGCTGTTAGGTCAACATTGTTATAATTTCAACCTAACAGCCAAATATATATATATATATATATATATATATATATATATATATATATATATATATATATATATATATATATATATATATATATATATATATATATGCAGAGATCTTAATGTGTTCTATATAAAAAAAAAAACACATAGATTTAAAAATTTTTTGAATAAAAAATATTTTTAGGGGTTCCCCAAGACCCTTGAACATTTTATAGGTCCCTAATATTATTAAGAAAAAAGTTTTTCAAAAGTAAGTTTTGTTGGGTCTCAAAAGAAGCAAAATTATATAAAAACTTCAAAAATAATCATCATTTCATAAAAAAATTATTATTTTAGATTTTAGTGAACAGAAAATTATGTTTTTTAACTAAAAACAAAAAATAAGGAATTTAACAAGATTTTTTGATGATTATTTTTTTTATAGCTGTTTTTTTATAAAATATTGATTAATTTTAAAATTTTTTAAAATTCTGTTTCTTTTGAGACCCAACATAATATACTTTTGAAGAACTATTTTTTTGATAATTATAGGGACCCGTTTGATGTTCAAGAGTCTTGGGGGACCCCTAAAAATATTTTTTATTCAAAAAATTTTTAAAGCCATGTGTTTTTTTATTATACAGAACACATAAAGGGGGTCTCCTCATATATTTTTCAAAAATGTTGTTTTTTGGGACACCCATATATATATATATATATATATATATATATATATATATATATATATATATATATATATATATATATATATATATATATATATATATATATATACATACACACACACACACACATATATATATATATATACAGATATATGTATATATATATATATATATATATATATATATATATATATATATATATATTTATATATATATATATATATACAGATATACATAAATATATATATATATATATATATATATATATTATATATATATATATATATATATATATATATATATATATATATATATATATATATACAGATATATGTATATATATACATTATAGATATATGTATATATATACATATATATACACATACATCACATTCGCTTCTTTCCAAATACCTGAAACAGGTATAATATTAGGTATTATACCTGTTTCAAATGATGAAACTATCAGAAGAGAAATAGACCAAGCTAATCCAGTGGTACACTCATTGAGAATATAAGGACTTATGCCATCTGGACCAATCGCTTTGTATTTCTTCAAATTACTCAACTTGTAAAAAACTGCAGTTTCATAAAGATCAAATTGATCAATCTTGCATACCTGATCAGTCCTAATTGGGAATGTAAACTTGTTCTTGAGGTCAATTTTAGAAAAAGCAGACTTAAACTGTTTATTAAGACATTCTGCTTTTATAAGCGATTTTGTTAGCTCCATGCCACCTTTTATCAAAATAGGAACGGTAAACTTTGCTTTTTTTTTTGACTGAAAATATATGTTGTATGTAACTTTTGGATTAGACTTTAAAAGTGAGGCAAGTTTTGATTTATAGCTTTTTCATGCAGTGAGAATGTCTTTTTTTAACTGCTTGCAAGTTGCTTTGTAGAGTGGGCTGATAGATAGATAAATAATGGATGAGCTGGCTAGCAGTTTTGACCAAAGATTTAATTTATTTTTCTTTAGATTTTTAATACCTGTTGTAAATCATTTTGTTTTTGATCTCTGTTTTTGAGTTGATGTAGCTTGATTTGGTACATATTTAGCTAATCCTTTTTTGTATTGAAACTCAATGAGTTGGTTTATCATAATAGGATTGTTTTTGAACTTTTCATGTTGTTTCCTCCATTCTGCATCTGCAGAAAATTTGTTTACATTTTTTTAGTAGCCTCTACCATAGTTTGGTTTGGTTAGTAATAACAATCCCACCAACCATGTTAGTAATAACATGGTTGGTGAGATTGATGGTTCAAACAAAAAACTCCATATAAGAGTGCAATGGAAATTATTTTCAATCAAGATGCCAAAAGGTGGACCAATATTGAGTTATATAATTCTGGAGGGGCAGTCAGTTAGCACCAGGTCATGAGTATTATTGTCAAAAGTAGGTTTCGTGACATCCTGTGCAAGAGCTGCAGTGTTGACAGATTCCAATATATATATATATATATATATATATATATATATATATATATATATATATATATATATATATATATATATATATATATATATCTTTTATATATGTATATATATACACACACGCACACACATAAAAAGATAATGTACTATTATGGTATAATAACAATAATAATAGTATATATATAGCTTTGCTATATATATAAAGCTCTGACAATGCTTTGGATATAGCTATCCAAAGCATTTTCAGTCAGAAGTTGGATCGAAATTGTCTGTTTTAACAACCACAACACAAAAAATTTTGTTGCTTATGCTTTATGTAAAAACAAAGAACCCTGTTTTGAGTTTCTTGCATTAAAATCAACCATGACAAATGAACTTAATATGCTTAGGGATGAAATCTCTAATCTGCCTAATAAAGAACACCAAATATAGGGTATAAACATTTGTAAGTGGCTTTCTGACACCCTCTGTGACCTCCACTCATGACCAAATCACTGACAGACCATGTTTGCAACTGCAGATCAAAATTTAAATAAAATATCACTATCAAATAGCAGTATTGTTGTTAAATAGAAAATTGTGAGCCATTTAGTTCTGAAGATATACTTGTTCAAAGATTGGTTCTCAGTTTATCGAAGACATGCAGTATACAATCTTAGCCTGTATAATATGTATGTATATATGTATATTGCCTTATACATATTACTAGAATATTTTTGAAATGACTAAATATACTTCTTTTAATAATTATTTTGATTTAGTTTAGATTACTTGTGATTGTCACTTTTCAAGTTCAAAGTCCAAGTCATTATTTAACATCCTCCACAATTTATGCAGTCGTTTTTAGAGAGAAAATGTTGATTAAAGTTATTTTTAATAACAAAATTAATTTCAAAATTTAAAAAAAAAAGAAAAAATTTAAAAAGTTGAGCAATGATGATCAGTCTATTGACAGTTATTTAGTTTATGTGAACATGGCTCTCAAGGATCATTTATGCAATCTTCAGTTTGATACTCTATATTTTTTCCTTTAGTTTATGTAAACATGGATCTTAAGGATTGATAGTTTGAACTAAATTATCCTTGATAGTTATCACAATCTAGATCTTTCTGTATTTATGAATGGTGTACTGGATAAGTACATTGCTGTATACTCGATAGTTGGACCTGCTCTTGCAGCCAACCTCCAAACATTATCACATTGTTGTAATGTTGCTTCTCTTTCTCTTTTCTATAAATACTATAATGGGTGCTGCTCTATAGAGTTAGCATCTCATGTGCCATCTAATGAAGTTCATTCTTTTGTTACTCGTCATTCAATTAAGTCTCATTCTTTTACTGCAACTGTTCAACATCAGTTTTTTGGAACTTTTACTGCATCTCAAACATCAGTTTTTTGGAACTCGCTCCCTTCATCTTGTTTTCCTGATTCATATAATTTTCAATTTTTTCAGTTATCTGTTATTTGTTATCTTGCCTTATAAAAGTCATCTTTTTTTTTCTAGTAACTTCCAACCCTAATAGTGGTTGCTTGCAGCCTTGTTGGAGGTGAAAGTGTTGGAAAAAAAAAAAGAACTATTCTTTATTTGATTAATCAGCTGAGTAATCAGCTGATTAATCAAAGCTTTATTAGACAAAAAGCTTGAATAGTTGTAGTACTATCTAATGGTCAAATGATTGGTTAATGAGGTTTTATTAAAAACAAAATGTTTATTGTTGTATATTATATTATTATCTTGACCATTATTATCTCTATATATTGTTGTCTTGATTAACATGTATAGGAAGCAAAAAAAAATTTGAACAGTTTTTTATTGAAAAGAGTTTGTTATTATAAGTTGAACTCTCTCATCAGAAGTATCAACAAATGTTATAAATTAAAATTAAAATAGGCAAAAAGAAAAATGATATTAAGATGGACATTGTTTTTGAAGTTCAAGTAATTCAAATTATTTAAGTTGCCCTCTTGGGAAAAATAGTAATCAAACTTAAAACAAAATGATTATCAAACTGAAAGCAAAGTTCGTAGAATATAAAGAATGAATTCAATTATCTTTCTTTTTTTTTTATGAGTTCTTGAGTTGTATTAATACAAAGTTGTAATACAAAGTTGTATTAATGTAACTATAACTACATAATATATATATAAAATATATAAATGAAAATATATACATATATATAAAAGAATAAATATATATTTATTATTTTATATATATGTATAAATTTTTTAATTATATATTTTATATAGTTATAGTTGTATTTATTTTTTTTACTTTATATAGTTTTTAAATTATTTTAAAGTTTTATTTCTTGATATACTTGTATATTGATATATTTTTATAATTATAGTAAACAAATATAGTATATCAAGATATTCTTGTAGTGTATCCTTTCATTAATATAAATGTTTTACAGTGTGTTTGTGCAAAATTTAGCAATGCTTATTTGATTTATTATCGTGATAATAATTTTCTAAAAGTATTTGTTTTTGTCCACCAAAGCTAATAGTTTTTTAAACTAAAAAATTGTGTAAATAGTTCTATTAATTTTTTAAGTTTAACTTTATTTTGCAGATTTTCTAAACTTCTATATTTTTATAAAAAATTTTAGATTTTTATTGAAAAAAAATTTTCCAAATCTTCTCAAAATCTCTAAAAAAATCTTTTTTTTAATAAAATTTTGTGCGGTAACTAAGGAAACAATTTTTGTGTTTAAGCTTATTTTTTATCAGTATATAAATACATTAATGTTGTTTACTGTGTGTTATTTATTTTGACAAATTTTGTATCGCTTAGTATGAACATTGCAGCTCAAAATATTTTTGTGTGTATATATGTATTTATATGTATACATGTATATATATATATATATATATATATATATATATATATATATATATATATATATATATATACATATACAGGGGTTATTCTAGACCATTTTTGACAGTGTTGATTGTATTTGGATGCCAATTTGGGCGTCCAAATACAATCAACAACAAAAAAAAAACTTGGGCGCAAAAAAAAAAAACTTTTTTTTTTTTTTTTTACTTTTTTTACAGCAAATATTGTTTTTTTCATGAAAAAATGCTGATATTCAGCAATAATTTCCACTAAATTTCTTCGGGACAGATGGGGGGGGGGGGTTGTACCACTGCCCAAATTATTTTCCTAGAATAGCCCATGATATATATGTCTCTCTCTCTCTCTCTCTCTCTCTCTCTCTATATATATATATATATATATATATATATATATATATATATATATATATATGTATATATATATATGTAAATATATATATGCATTCAAACATACATACATACATACATACATACATACATACATTCAAACATACATACAAACATACATACATACCTACATACATACATACATACATGCATACATACATACATTCAAACATATATACAAACATACATACAAACATACATACGTACATACATACATACATACATACATACATATAAAAATTTTGTTTTTAAAAAGTATGCTTATGCTAAACAAATAT